TGCGACTGAAGAACGGTGTCTTGTCGCATGGGTTAAAGATCGTTGACTAAAGGGAATCGCATAATCGTCTTTTGTTTTACAAATATATCTAAACTATTGATTGCAAACAATCGTTTATCAAATTATCGTTTACCAGATAAATCCATGAAGCGAGGTTAAATCCCCTTGAAACTTCAAAACCTTTTAGTAGTGAAACGTAGAAAGTATAAAAAGCGATCACACGCCACATTCCTTTGGCTACGAGCCCCGGGCGCTGGTTTTTTGCCAGAATTCGCAATGAAACTGCAAAGCCTCCGCGAAAATGTGGTTTGTACTTAACTTCTAAGTCCTTTTGAATCGTTTTACACTCTTATCTTTAGTTTGAAATAGGTGTGAGTATATATTTAGTTATTATATATAAAATTTCGTGTAAGTTTGGAGTTATGGCGCAAAATAAGTTATTGTAAAGTTATATTGTTGTTGTTGGCTTCAGCGTGCGACTGTCATCAGGTTCGATCCCCGGCTGTGCATCAATGGACTTTATGTCTATGTGCGCATTTAACATTCGCTCGAACGGTGAAGTACAACATCGAGAAAACCGGCTTGCCTTAGACCCAAAAAAAGTCGAAGGAGGCTGATCACCTACTTGCCCATTAGATTGAGATATGATCACTAAACCGATACAGAAATCTGAGGTCCAGAAATCCAGACCTAAAAAGGTTTTAGCGACAATGATTTATTTTTATTTGAAGTAATATTGTTAATAATTTTGTAATGTTTTTCAAATGTGAAGTGTGTGTTCAAACTCCGACACAAAGAATTTATGCGCGTAATTAACACGTGTTCGCACGAAGCAATACATTGTGGGGAAATATGCATTAGACGAAAAACCAACGTGTGATGGCAAAAATTCCTAGCTACAAAGAAATAGATTTCAAAAACCGATTGGTATTCTAGGATCTCTTTTTTTATAACCATGAGCCATATCCAGGAGCTGCAGGACGCCCAAAAAGGGCAGTCATCCCAGCTCATAGACACCCAGATTTATTGGGTGCGTTGCCGGCCTTTGAAGAGAGTACACTTTAATTTTGAATAGTAGAAGGTCGTATCTCTCAGGGAAGACCCCGATCTTTGTAGCGTTGTAAATATATATTAATAACGTGTATTTCAAGAAGCCGTCGCTCATATATATTTACATAGAAAAATCCTTTTTCACAACACTTAACACGATTTTAATAAACGTATGCGAATAATCGCAATCGTGGGTATAAACCTACTCACATGGCACTTCATCACGCGGCCAATACCAAAATTAGCCCAGTGATGTCCAAACTAGAGATATAATGGGATTCAGGGGGTGACGGGGCGGGAAGGGGAGGGTTAAGTGGTTGCTATGACAGATGACTCTTTTAGTCGTCCTATATAATGGATTCGATGGTTCGAAGTGAATTAACGATAAATAAATTGTGGTATATTTTAGCTATACGAGATTCTAGTTATTTGAAAAATTCGAAGTCGAAGTAAAAAGTAGCCTTGGGGAGAATTTGCCTGTGCGGAAAATCGATCTGAAACTGTTTAGAAAAAACACCTTTTCTATGGCCATTAAGGTTTATAATTTTTTTTTTTTTTTAAAAAGACAATTTACACCAATTGACCTAGTCCCATGCTAAGCTGGTGAAGCTTGTGTTATGGGTACTAGGCAACGGATATACATACATATTATAGATAGATAGACATATAAATACATATTTAAACGCCCAAGACCTAAGCACAACACCAAATGCTCATCACATCGATGTTCGTCTCAGCCGGGGATCGAACCCGGGACCCATGGATTTGCAGTCAGGGGTACTAACCACTAGACCAATGAGTCTAATGAGACAATAATTTACCAAAAGAAGTAAAAGATCTTCCGACTAGAGTCTTTAAAAATCGACGGTGTATTACTTTTGAAAAAAAATATTATTCAATAAATGCTTATTTGCGTGAGACACTGTAGTTGATATGAATTTAATAACGTATGATATGATATGTACCAATAATATAAGAACTGACCAATTCATATGACTAATAATGTAAAATGTAACCTTTAAATAAAAATTTGCACGCCATTGTGTGTGGCAGAATATGCGAACTTACGATTGTACCACCTTACACATTTTTGTACCATATTCTTGCAATAAATTATTGTTATTATTATTATTATTATTATAAATTACGATTATTATACGATACGGGAAATAGACGCAGTGGACCCGTTCCGTCTGCGACGGTTTTTGATACAGTCATGGTACGGCGGCTGCGTGATATATTTAATTTTTTTTAAATGAGAGTAATAATAATAAAAGCCTTTTAATTCAGATACTTTTTTACATTGAAACACGTTTCTATTTCAATCTTCTTTTCGGTAAGTATCTGTGTGCCCTTTTTTGGCAAAGGCCTCCTCCAAAGCCTGCCATTCCTCTCTGATCTGTGTCTCTCTGCCATGTACCACCTGCTGTTTCTTTAATTTGGTCTATCCACCTTATAGGTTGTCTTACACTTTGTCTTTTGCTGTATATTAGGCACCAGTTTAGTACTTTTTTTACTGAAAATATACTTTATTCTCGTTAATCTAATCTCGTTATTGTCGTAATAATGATATACAGAATACATTTACACGATTCCTTTTTTATAGACTGCACTATACCTACTATCCTTTAATGTATCCAACATTATTTGTCTTAGGCATGGTGGGGTACAAAAAATTTGAAATAGTTGGCCTACTATATACTGATAGGTTTGCGGATGTGTTGCAGTTGAATTACCATTTTAAGTTTGAGTTTTATGGTAAACATATTTACTGAATAGTTTTATTAAGTGACTTTATCGAATTAGTTAAAACTCCGTACCACACAAACGTGAGCGATCTTTTACGCATTACAATATACATATCGTAAATTTAAAATAAAACGGCATTATATTTTCAAATTTACCATCGCGCTTTAGTAAAGCGAATTTCCAGTACATTTACGAAGCTTCAGAATTAAGACGCGAAAGTCACCTGATTAATTTAGATGCGCGCTCCGTGCCTCGCGATTCAAAATCTTCGACATAATCTCTAAATTCGGGTCAGGCTCATTGGATTAACGAGAATTCTACTTTCCTTCATAATTAGCTTTTATAATATAAAAGCTTTATTAAGCATATTCAGTCAAGGTTTTAATGATTTTGTTTACAGATTTCATTCAAATTCAAAATCATTCATTCTTTTACACTTACAATGTAAAAAAGAAATACAGTCATGTATCGTATACCTTCAGATTATAACAGAAATTACCAGCAAATAGATATATTTAATGTATCTAAAAAATGCTTAAGAAATTATATAAAAACTCAAGTAGGTATCCTTTATTAGATAGAATGGCTTTGTTATTCCTCATGAACTATGAATCTTAGAATTTAGAATTTATTATAAATACATATATTCTTTATATTTTTTTTTATTTGTATAGGTGTAACTGTGCTTTCTGTGTGTTTAAATGTGTATTCCGTTTTTGGCTTGTGTATAGTGTAATTTTTTGAATATTGTATAGTACTCGTAAGTAGCTGTAGGAATACCGTTAAGCAAATAAATAAAATAAATAAATAAATATTAAATGCTTCTAATTTTTATTTACTGCCAGTTCTCAAGTCATGGGCGTAGAACGGACGAGATGAACTGGCCATAAACTCTCCGCCACTCTTTTTAATCACCAAGTTTTTTGTTTTACACAATGTTTGTGAGGAGCTGCAACCATTACACCATGTCCCACATGACATCTTAATTAATAGTTAATTAAAAATTAAAATAAATTAAAAACAAATTTTTGTCCTCTATCAGCAGTAGGCATGGTGAATAGAAGCACGCACACATTCTCGTGGGAACAACACGCAAATACATTATGAGAAGGTCAATGTATAAAAAGCAACCTATAATAACTCAAAAGGCTTTTGGACAGTTAATAACGAAAATATCTTTTGTTTAAGAGGAGCTTGAGATTTTTGATAAACCATATATTTGAATTTTCGTAACTCAAATCTGACAGAGCATATCCATCTCATCATAGGATTTTCTGAAAAACTACCTTTAGGAAAAGACAAAGTCCACTTTAAGTGGAGTCCTTTTAAATATGACACACTCTACTTCTGTCTTAATAATCTGGCTATTAGTAGGTTAATATATAACGAATATATAAGGAATTACGTTAAGTAAAGTTTATTATAAAAATTAGTTATGGATTAACCGAGTCCAACACAGCCATAGATGTGTTTCATTCAGCTTTTTCTGAAACTTAAAAACAAAGTGGAAAAAATAAACGAATCAGTCTTTAGAAGTTTCCCTATGGAATATATCAAAGTGTACATGTGTTTTGGTTTCCATTAAATTTTCCGTCCAATCGTCAAAAAGCGAAGTGGAAACAGACAAGTTGAGAATGTATAAAGAGATAATTGTATGTTTTACAATTACAAGAACTGTCTCGGCACCCAACATTTATGTGTTTGTCTGAATTTCGTACGTGGTTTGTCTTCTATGAAACAGAAGTCAACTTGCTTTAATGAGGTATATTCCAACAAAACGTTTTTGAAATATCCATTTTTGCCACTGGACAATAATAACTTTTCGTTGTTTGATGTTAGTTTACGAATTCAGTAGAATTTGATAAAAAAAGCAAGATATATCCATTTTTGCCACTGGACAATTAATAACTTTTCAATGTTTGATGTTATTACTGCTCTACGCCCTTGACTTGCGAACTGGTAGTAAATGTAAATTTAAAATTAATTTAACTTATATATGAATAAAGATATTTTGGGTTTTAGTTTATTGTTAGTTTACAAATTCAGTAGAATTTGATAAAAAAAGCAAGGAAGCGAAAATTTGGTTGATAATACACGTCACCTTACCGCATCCGACTTCGACCACAATTATAAAAATGAATTAATTAATTTCTGAGTTGTATTTATTTCTCTGTAGTTCGTGATAGGTGGTGGTCATTGAAATGGGAACTAAATTATTTGTTGCCTTTTTCCTAGTTTTTAATATTTATGGTAAGATTTTTATTTGTATTGAATAGCCCAGTATATAGATAGACAAAATATTCATATGAATGCCCACGAGTGAATGCCAAAGCCACAGTTTCTTCAAAATTTTGCAATTCGCGAGTTATGTGACTTAAGATTAATTAAGTTGTACATATTTATTTTAGTTAATTATTAAAAGCGTAAACAAAATGTAATTAATATCGCACACTTGAAGCCAATATGAGCCCTTTAATTTATACCACACTCATAAATTGTTATTTCCGATAATGTCCAATAACATAAGTGTAACTTAGATTAACGAACTCAAGTCAAGTTAGTTTTTAGGTAAATGCAGCGCCGCAAACCCATTACCCCTACTGTTATCTTAGTTATAAGCTCATGTTTTTAACAATTAAAGCCAGTTCTTACCCAGCTTCAAATCAACATAATTCGCGATATGATTTAAATTAATTAGATATGTTTAGCTTTTAAGTATTTTGTTCAAAAAGTACAAAGCATGCTGTACTTTTGTACAAAATACAAATAAATGGGACTACATGTTAATTATTTTCGATAAAGTACTTAAAGAAAAGAGTGCAATTACATAGTTAAGTTAGATTTTACGAATAATTTTTATAAATAAAATTAGGGGGCAGGGGATTAGATTATTAAGATTGATTTGAATATTCTACCTACCTATCATATACGATAATTTCGGGTAGGTAGTATATACATAACATTATTCTATTTATTTTCAGAATGTAGTCAATACCGCTATGATTATAAATTCGTAACGGAAGTTGACGGTTGGATAAAATTACACCAAGTTCCTGCTACCTGGGATGAAGCCAGGTTGAGATGCCAACTAGAAGGTACACACGTGTGAATTTCAATATACTTTATATTCAGAAATAAACTTATAGAATATGAAAATTCGCGTGATTAAAATAAAACATTCATTTGTTTAAAGAAAAACAATTCGTGTCAGTTCAGTATGGGTTATTAAATAAATATTGTTTTCTTCAGCGTGGGACTCTCATCCCTGAGATTGAAGGTTCGAAACACGGCTGTGCTGTGACTGTTTCTATATGCGCATGCCTTAGACCCAAAAACGTTGAGGTCGTGTGTCAGGCAAAGAAGGGTCACATTCATCAGAAATCTCAGGCCCGGATTTACAATGTTGTCGCTTGTTTTATTTTGTTTTAAATATAATAAGCGATAAAGATATTAAAACTGGAACAATTCGATATTTAAATTTATAACGTTTCAAAGCCTTTGTATATAATACACAATTAATGAGAATAAAGGTGATCAAAATTTAACGATTATTTGTAATAGTTCTAGTTAAACCAATAATGATAATAATTTAAACTTAATTTAATCCAACTATATGTTCTCAGACCAGTATCTCAATAATTTTCTGTAATTAACAGTCTCTCAGAAACAAATTGTGACATCATTGAACTACACAATTAAGTTTCGATACTGGAGATATTGAATCAAGTTAGGATTTGTTCCTATCTTCTTTGTACTAGTGCGAGTGTTATTGTAAATGCCTATAGTGTTAATATCATGAAAGATGTATAATATATAATGGTAACGAAAAAAAAGAAAAATATATTTTTTTTCGTTACGTTTATCTTTAAATGGTAACGCAATTATTCGTTAAATAAAAGTTTATTTATTATTTTAGGAGCGATCCTGTGTTCACCTAATACGATTAACCTAGTGGAGGTAATGAAGTTTGTCATGCAAAATACTAGGGCCGGGGTATCCGGTGTGTTTACTGGTACACACGCAACATTCTCTAAAGGAGACTTTCATTCAGTTGATGGTAAATACACAAAAAAAATTAATTAAAGTTGATATGCAGAGATTTATTTGACCAATTCAGTGAATTTGTAGCCCAGAAGTTTTGTTTGAACCATGAGACGTTCTTCCACGCGCCAATCCTTAGGGTCGGTTCATATCTAACGGAAAATGCGTTGTGCGTATCATCCGTCGCGTCTATTCGGTCAGAATAGACCTGCCACATTACGCATCTAGTCAGTTTCTGCGTTTAGCATCTACAGAGCGGTTGTGTTGTGATATTTAATTTATAATGTAGCCTATCGAACTAGACCGAAAAAGGAAACGTAGATATTGGGTCTTTTAAATACTAAAAGAATATCAATCAAAATACATGTAGCACACGTTACTGCTCTTACGTCGACCGACAACCGACCGACCGACCGACTCGTTTATGGAAACGGAATAGACGCTATTCGCTCGACGCACTATCGTATCATCGGTTGAGTGTGAACGGTCGAGGGTTTTTCTATACATTTGTCTGTTCTGGCGTTACGTGACCGACAATATGCGACGAATCGTCCGTTATATGTGAACCGAACCTAAGTTTAACACTTTATGGGTCTGTTTCACAATGTATGGATAAATTACCAAATAGCTATGCAACACAAATTTTTGGAAGATAAATTGTGCTATTTGACACTTCATCGGACTCATAACTTATGATGGACTTTATGTGACGAATAGCGCCGCAGTCGTGAAACGCAACAATAGTGTTTATCCTACCAATAAGTAATAAATAGCTAATTTGGAACTTATGTAGAACTTATCCGTACATAGTGAAACAGACCCTAAAAATAATTATATGTTATACTTTTCAACAATGTGTCCCATACGCTATTTTTTTTCAATTCACAACTATTGCTAAATTGTCATTGAAAATATAAAGGAATATTTTTTTCCAATACAGGTGTTCCCCTAGGCAAGATGCCAGTAGAGTGGATGCCAATGGAGCCGGATAATGAGAATAATAGTGAGAGCTGTATCGTGATGCTTAGAAATGGTACCATAGCTGATATCAACTGTGACGAGGTGTTTCCATATATTTGCTACAGAAAAAGTTCAAAAAGGGAGTATTTAACTGAATGTGGGACTGTTGATACAGGTGCATAGTTTCATTCTGGTTTATTATCTTCGACTTACTTTGTTTTTTGCGGCTTAGTGAAGTCATTGGGGCTGTTGAAGTATAACGTAAGAACTATAGGGTCTTTGATTTTCTTATTTGGTGATTGCGTACACATATTACACATATTATATGATAAATTGCAGTAAATGTGCTTACATAATATTTGAACGGCACCATTTATAAGAAATAAATGACTACTACGCGACCTCTCATTACGGCAAAACAGTTCCTACGTGCACAAGGCACAGTGTGGCCCTGTGTGACTAAGCTATTGTGGAACTACGATGGAAGTATGAAGTTTACACATACATAGAATCTTGGTAAATAATATAACGTATGTACGGTCTCTACATGAATAATCAGTGAATCGATTTTAGTTCTGTGCGTCCGTCCCAATTAACGTTAAACTTTCTGTATAAGAACGGCTTAATAAATATTCTAGGCATAGAAAAATAAAAAAACATTGGCGCTCCAACCTTGTTAAGTTTGAGACTCAGATTGTTCAATCTGTTTCATGATCATTTGTCAATCTAATAGGTAAGTAGGTTATCGGCCTCCAGTGCCTGACACACACCATCGACTTTTTGGGTCTAAGGCAAGTCGGTTCCCTCACGATGTTTTCGAGTGTCCATTGGTGCACAGCCGGGGATCGAACTGCCACTAGACCAACACTGCATTAGACATTTAACAGCAAATAAGTTTCAGGATACAAACTGGATCGAAGAACCGGAAGCTGTTACAAGTTTCACACAGATGAGAGAAATTGGACGCGTGCTTTCATGACGTGTGCTGCTGAGGGTGGGCATCTTGCTATCATCAACAGTGATGAAGAAGCCAAAGTAATGAGGGACCTTTTTAAGGTGCACGCAGCTGGCAGTATTCGGTATGACACTGTCTTGATGGGGTTCCACGATTGGAGAGAACGTGGTGTTTGGACAACGATACATGGTAGGTTTTGTTGACCAGTATTAACACTTTACAAAGACAACATCTTAATATATAAAATTATCGTGTCACAATGTTCGTTCCTATACTCCTCCGAAATTGTTATGCATATCTTTCAAACCCTTAAATTGAACCCTTGAATTCAGAGGTTTAGAGAAAAATCTCAGAAACACCTAAAAAGTTTTCATTCCGGAAAATCGAACAGTCTCCGGTGTAGCATAGCAAAATGTTCCATGTTGGTATGTACTAAAAAGGTAGGCTAAATAAAATCACATTAAGGAGAAGCGAAGTTCGTGGGGGTAGCTAGTAATCTATAGAAATCTTTTAGGATTCGGTAGTGTTTAAAGAAAGTACACATATATAAATTTTATTAAAAGCTGTATAGTCACCGTGACCACGCACGCTGTAAAGCACGCGAAACGTCGGATAAATTTAAAATTATGTTAAATAGTTGTAAATTTATAATAATACATAACTTCAATCCGGTCAAAATAGTGTTTTATTAGCTGTATATATTTTGACTTGAAAGCTATGATGGATCTCCATATTTCTAGTTGGTTTCGATATTCGTTTGTTATACAGGTCAATCATTACAAGAGGCTGGGTATGACATGTTTGAACCTGGCCAACCCGATTCAGCAGCTCCAGGCGAGTACTGTGGAGGGATGTTCAGGGCTGCAACATTGAATGACGTGTGGTGTCATAAAAGTCTTTCTTTCATCTGCGAGAAGACTGTTGACAGTTTACTGGATTGGAGTGATAATTATTAGTTATTATTAGTTTAATTTGTGTATTTATTTCTTTTACATTACCTATTTAAAAGAAAATCTATTTAAGATGTACTGACAAATACATGTTTTTATTTCATAAAATTTTATGATCTATAATTTTTTAGATTGCAGTTGCTTTTTCGCTCGAATTATGCTAGACGCATTTTTATTTTTAATCCCTTTTAGCCAATTATATTCATTATTCGTTTATTATTTATTAAAGGACTTATTTATTAATACCATTAATAAGTCCGGAAGTTAGTTCACCAGTTAAATGTGATAAGAGTCAATAAAAATAAAAGATTTTTTGACGTACGAGTTTATCATTCTACAGTGACGATATATTGATTTCAGTATTATCCTCGTTAACGAATTCAAAATGAATTAATTAATTTTGTCTGCAATTCAAATTTTCTTTGAGAAGTTGGTTCGTTTGTTAATTTAATTACACTGGAGTTTGTTGGCCTTGTTTTATTTGTGAGGGCCTTCATATTTCGCCATTTAAGTGCCTTTTAACCTTAGGGTTTAGTTCCGATACAATAGCCTTAAATTAAGTTCTTGCTTTTATTATTACGGATATTTTACATTGAAATTTGGAGAATTTTAATGTACCTTTAATTATCACTTCTGCTTAACGAACTTTAGTCCAGAGCTGACGGTGAGGTAGACGTTCATCTAGTTACATTAGTTTATATAGACCAGCCTTAATTAATTCTTATGCATCCCCGCCCCCTTGTAAAATACATTATTTTTAATATCTAAAATATAATTAATCACTTGAAATGATAGGTTATAGGAAGAAATTACTTGGAAATTGTTAACGAAACATAGTAAGTAACTACATTTTAAAACATATAAGTAATAACTAAAATTACAAATAAGTAATTATTTAAAAATAGAAAAATTTGATTAACTATCAAATTGATATGATTAATATTTTTGATTTATTTATAGATGATATTTTGCACTCTTTGAACTAAAGTATCTTTTGCCTCTTTTTATCAAATAGCGCTTTCGCTATGATGTAAAAAGATAGAGTAAACTGTGCTAGACAAAGCTATTCTGTACTTCCTTTTGAATTAGATTTCGATATATCTGTGAATTCATCATAACTATATAATATTTTGTATAAAAGAAACTTTAAATAATTTTTGATTTATTTAACACAACGCACTTCTTAAAACAAAATATATCTATTTTTATCTAAATTTTAAGTAATCTATATATATAAAAATGAACCCCTATTTCCCTGGGTCACGGCATCATGCGTTAACGGCTGGACTGATTTCGCTAATTCTTTTGTTGTCGTGTTTGTTATTGTCAGGAGAAGGTTCTTATGAAAGAAAAAAAAAATAGAAAATTGCGCGGAAAATTAGAAAATTTAACAATACCACCATACAATTTAAACTTTTTTGGCAACCTTATGGCGTTTGACATAACATTGACAGAATGCGTATTGCAAATATATCGTTAAAGAGGATGTACGGCTGGACCGATTTGAATGAATTTTTTTTGTATGCGTTTGGGTGACCCTCTGGATTCACATAAAAGCCCAGCAGATGACGCTGCAGTCGGTTCTATCATACTTTTTTTAATATACTAATCGCTTGAAATATTATGCAGGACACCGTCTGTCGGATCTAAAAAAAATAATTAAGTTAATACAGGACAAGATAGCTATTTCTTGTAAGTCAAATACTATATTTATAAATGTAAAATGTGCAGTGATACAATTTACATGGAATCACTAGAAATGCTCACACGAAATATCTTTTGAGCTCGAATAAAATTTGATTCGCAATTTGTCGAATGCTTTCCGCGTAGTCCACAGTGACCTAACTTTATAGAAGCTCACGGAGAAATGAGAAAACATCCACTCAAATGTACAGGAGTTCCTAAACGGGAAATATTCTGTATTAAAATATGTATTTTCTTATGACCTAATTCTACAAAAACAGTGGGACCTTTAGGTCTGGGCCTCAGATTTCTGCTTCGTGATTATGTTGATAATAGGCAAGTAGGTGATCAGTCTTCTGTGACACGTCATCGTACAAGCGAATGTTAAATGTGTTCTTGGAAAGATAAATCCATTCGGGTGTGTTTCAAGCACACGACCTCAGAGTTGAAAGGCGTAAACTCAAACCCCTAGGCCATCATTGCTCTGTATAATTCGGAATGTTCTATACAACCATTTCGAAACAATTCAGGCCATTTTCAACCCTCTATAACTTCGTAGTGTATAAAACTAGATACCTGATTTTAGTCCGGAACCAGTAATTTAAGAATTATAACTAGTCGAAGTTTCTTAATTTTGTCACTCACTCATTCACTCATTCACTGAATGACTGACCAATCACCAACACTCTAGAAGTTAAAGAAGCTTCAAATTTAGAATACAATTACCTAGTGTTTAGTGTATAAGATATTTAGAAATTTCAGTTGCAGATTTTTATATACACTAGCTGCAAAAATTCATATAAAGTGAATGAATCAATGTACCTGTATATGTATAATATAATGGAATGCAGAATTATTTAAGAAGTAGAAGTTACCGGAAAGGATAAAACGTTAGACTATCTAAAATAACTTAGAAAAGCCAAGTCTCGTTCTTCTACCGTACAAAGTTGTAAGTAATAAGCAAAAAAAAAAGGTTTAAACGATTAGGCAGGTATGAGGTAACACTGTGTTGCTTAAGAGAAATGAAACTGAAAACAAAAGAATGTCAATTGGATATTCATTTGTTTTCATATTGTTAGGAGATTGTGTGCGGTTTTGTTTATTATGTGACTAAGACCACAAGCATATTAGAAACTTCAGACGTTATAAGGCTGAATACAGCCAACGTAACCAACTGTAGAACGCGGCTACGCGAACGTGAACACAAGTTATAGAAAAGTGATTGAATGTTTGCCATTTTATTGTTAATAAAACTGTTACTTCTTGATTTATTTAAATGTAAATTGTACATAGTAATTGTATGATCGGATCCATAACTATGTTAATAAATGATTTTAGGTGCAAGAACTCATCCTCGTTCTGAAAACTCAAAAAAAAATTGAGGTCGGTGTAATAAAAAAATATTTGTATTCTAAATCTTTTGCTACCCATCAAACATATCTAAGGTCAAATATTTTAATTCGTGTCTCATGTCATAATCTCGAATTGAGCGCTGTTAAATATGTGAAACTTCATACAGAGGAAATGGTTTGACAGCTAACACGAAGAAGGGCTCGGCATGGGTTATGTACTTTTCATATACGAAATCGGAAACCAAGACTAAATCTTAAGCTTAATAGCAACTATAAAAACTTATTGAATTTACACAAACAAACATATTTTGTGTGTGTGTGTGTATTTGTGTGAATAACACGACCAGTATGCATATGCCCTGAGGTTTTGTTAGGACGAGATTTTGTTAAGGACATTAAAATGGGATGAGCCTCTGCACGCCACCATTTAGTGATCACGCGGTGATGCGCAGATGTTCATGTGTGACTCCGTCGTCAGCAGCGCGCAGATGACTAAAAGCAAGTGCACATAAGTGCCGCGCCGATGATTTACATATGGTTCCGGCGCAGAAATCAATGGATGTTTTTTTGCGTTTTGGTTGCCTTTGGACTTAAAATCCAGACAACACGAAGAAGAATGGAGAGAAGGGCCAAAATAACTGGCATCATACAATATCATAAAGAACAAAGATCAATGATGCACTAACTTTATCCTTTTAAAGAAAATGGAAACGGGCAGGACATATGGCCAGGTACAACGACGACGGAACACAAAGACTGTTGAAATGGCCTACAGTTTAGAGGCATACAATTTATATGATACTTACTGTTAATGTCAATGGAATAAAATTAAGCTATTATAGCGCGTGTCGTGTCAATAATATTAGTGTAAAAGATGCACATTTTTACTTGTAAACTACTTTTTACTACCTGAACACGCAATCTAAAACTATTCATCTACTAGACCTATAAATCGGCTGGATATAACACAACGTGGACACTTGAGGTTGAAGAAGGCAAGACCAGGATCTCAATAAATTAATATAGAAAAATCTTTATTAAAACTATTTAGAATTTAAAAATTTACTTACTGTGTATCGTGCCTAGTGATTTCTCCCGAAAACCTATCATTTAAGTTTCTTAACTGAACAATTAAACTTTGTATTGTATGTTACATATCATAAGAATTTTAGAAAGGCTAAAGTGCACATGGCACAAAAAAACACTGTACCAGATAAATCGGAATCATTAAAATTGTAGCCGTCCAAAACAAATCCTATAAAGAACGCCATAAGTTGTGTTCGACTTCTATACATTATGTATGATCTAGGAGCTCTATTGTAATGGTATTCCACTGTCTTGAACTTAAGCTGACTGCTTCTTAACTAATTCAGAGGACGTCTGCGTCATTCCTAATGTAGTCAAATTAAATAGAAGTCAGTGTTGAATTGCAATTCCAATGCGATTTTCTCACTTCGGCTTCGAAGCTTCAAGTCTTCATTTTAATATGGAAAATTAAGCAAAATATTTTAGTTATACTAATTTTTAAAATCCATTTTACTCAATTGTAAAAACGATAATTTTTATAAGGATTTTGCTACGACTAGACATCCTATAAAATATTTTAGAAATAAATATAGTAAAATAGTTCAGTTACTTTCAGTTTCAATTGTCAAAAGTAAAATTGTGTAACTAAACAATGTAATGAATATTAAACGACCCTAGTCAAGGTGTTTGTAACTTCGTATAAAGTTTAGCAAAATAAAGGTCGCATTGTGGCGTAATTATATTAAAACACCAATGTTCAGTGTCCAATAGCGAAAATTACGAAGGCACAAACAAAAGCGTTGCGCTTTTAAATGTGGACCAAGTTAGAGGAAAGTACGCATTTAAAATTTCCTAAATATTAATAATTCTATCGGACATAAAACGGACTTATATAAATAATGGAGCTTTTATTTAATACAAGCAACGAGGGCGGACAGAGTACAA